ACCTTGAGCAGGTTCCTGAACCGCTTGGTGCCTGTATCTTCAACTACAAAGTGAAGACAGAAACACCAACACCTCACAGGACTGCTACAGCAATCAAATGAGATGTTATTCAAAGAGAGCTTTTAGCCCAGTACCCAGCATGTACTAAGGGCTAAATTAATGCAGGCAGAGCATTACCAGGAGTCTCTCCTTGGGGGACTGGGCCAGTCTTAGAGTGGTTAGAGCTCTAGCGGCTGTCTAATCCAAACGCCTCGCCAGCACAGGAATCGCCTTTCTTATACACTAAAACTCTGGGAGAAGGCACCAAAACAGACAGATTGTTTTTTTAATTGAGGTATCATTGATTTACAATATTACATAAGTTTCAGGTGACAACTTAGTGATTCACAATTTTTAAAAGTTATACTCCGTTTATAGTTATTGTAAAATATTGGCTATATTCCTTGTGCTGTTTGATATACCTCGGTAGCTTATATTTTATACACAGTAGTTTGTACCTCTTAATCCCCTAGCCCTATCTTGCCGCTATAAAAAGAATGAAATTTTGCCATTCGCAACAACGTGGATGGATTTGGAGGGTATTACATTTAGTGCAGTAAGTCAGACAGAGGAAGACAAATACTTTGATGTTGTATGATATCACTTATACGTGGAACCTAAAAATAAAACTAGTGAATATAACAAAAAAGAAACAGAATGATGTTTTAATAGTAACAGTAAAACATTTTGGAAGTGTTTATAATTCATTTGAGATTATGCAGTCAACAAGTGCATTCATTCTCTTCCTAAATGCCAACACTATGTGGATACACGTCACCAAGGAAGGAAAACTGTTTATCTTGTAGAGTTCACCATCAAAATGAGAAAAAAAAAGACTGTTAAGATCTGAAAGTACTGGGGCTGGGAAGAGAGTGGCAGGAAGTAGTCAAGGGGCTGATGCATGATAAAATGCTAAAACCGTAATTCTAACTCTGGAGAGTGTCTCTTATCAAACCAAGCTTCTCTGATGTTGAGGGGGAACCTTGAATGATGAGTCAGATATAAAAGACAAAGACGTGAGAAGTGTTGGAAATGGGCAAGAGGGGGAAAGACAGCATATAAAATCCCTATTTAAAAACCTACAAATGGCCCAGGGACTGCAGGAGAGGAAGGGAGCCAGACTAACCAAGTTCATCTGTGATGAGGTGCTTCCCTTGAATGGAGTTCCGGCACTGGTTGCTGGGCCGACTGCTGTTGCCCAAGTTAAACTGCACTTTCCATGGGATGGGCTGATCGTGGTCGTGAACCTGGAGGAGATTCCGATCTCTCACTGCCCTCTCCTCCTACAAAGACACCACAAATGAGAAGGTTAAAGTATCACTTCTTGCATTTTCACCAATTTTTTCATAGAAACTACAGTAATAGGAAAGAATATAAAACAGCTTGCACAACAGGAATCTGCACTCCCCTGGTACGAGCAAAGTCTGAGCCAAAGTCATGAAAAAAAAATGCAGGGCTTCCCTGGTGGCACAGTGGTTGAGAATCTGCCTGCCAATGCAGGGAACATGGGTTCGAGCCCTGGTCCGGGAAGATCCCATATGCTGCGGAGCAACTAAGCCCATGTGCCACAACTACTGAACCTGCACTCTAGAGCCTGTGAGCCACAACTACTGAGCCTGCGTGCCACAACTACTGAAGCCCGTGCGCCTAGAGCCCGTGCTCAGCAACAAGAGAAGCCACTGCAATGAGAAGCCCGCGCACCGCAACGAAGAGTAGACCCCGCTCGCCGCAACTAGAGAAAGACCGCGCGCAGCACTGAAGACCCAACGCAGCCAAGAATAAATAAATTTATTTCTTTTAAAAAATGCAAAATAAACCTGCAGGAAGAAGTAATAAATTAGGGCTATGCTTCAAAACTGGCAGACTTACATAAATGCCCCTGGACTATGTGCATGTTATACATGTGTACAAAAGCATTAATCTTGTCAAAAAATTCGGAGGGAAAAAGTTTTGAACTTTTTCTGATGGCAAATCATTTAAAATATTTTTTATATTAAAACAAATACATTGTGGAATAGAATGTAAAATCTGAATACACTTTTAAAATAGAAGAGGAAACTTCAAAGAAACTTTCCAACTGTCATTTCAGACAATACCTGGACAGGTCTAGGGCACAAGGTTACTTTCATTTGCAGTAAGGAGTCTAGCGGTAAACTAAGGGGAATGCTGAATTGGGAGGTTGATTTCAGGGGCAAGAAGAAGCATGTCAACTTGCAAATTTTTTCTATGAAAAAATACTAAGTATGTGACCCTTAGAACATACCTTTCTTTATAAAAGACACCCATGCCAGCCAACCCTTTACCGAGACATGCAAAGTGAGGAGTTGCTCTAGAGGCAAGAGTTTAGATCTTTTCTCCTAGCCCCCAAGGCACAGTCGGGTTTTCCAAATTGCCTTTGTTATACTCTTAAAGAAACTAAGTAAGGTGCCTGAGGGCCAAAAAAAGCCATGCAAGAATCTTCTCAGAGGATTCTTCAACCTATCTATCACTGGAAAACAAAACAAATGATAAGACTCCCTCCAAGAGGATTTTTATACATAATAGTTTAACCATTCTACCATTTTAATAGAGCTCTGTGGCTTCTGCCATTAAGAATGATCTGTCACGTGTCACTGTTTGAGAAAAAGGGACTAACCTTGAAAGTTGATGGCAAAGGTTATACTTTAAGACAATGGGAAAGAGCTATACAGTTACTAAGATATCTCTAGGAAAGCTATGTGGGAAGAGCTATTAATATTTAAAACATGCATATCCACATCTACTTTGGCACAGCAAACACATGGTTGAGGCCTAGCCTCTGGAAAGTACAGACATGTAAGGGTGCACTAGGATGTCTACTACAGCACCGTTTATGTGGTGGAAAAAACCTGGAACCCCAACCACAGAGAAATGAGTGAATAAACACTGGATAGCCATAGCTATTACCTAAAAATTACGTATGACTGATGTGTATTTATCTAGAGCAGGAGTCCTTAAACCTGACTTGCACATCAGATTATGGAAGGACTTCAAATTCTGATTCCTGAGCCCAACTCCAGACTGAGTAAAAAGGGACCTGGGAATCAATATTTTTAAAGCACTCAGATGATTTTAATACAGAGGGCTGCAGATCCCTGGTGGATGTCCATAGTATATTAAGGAAAAAAACAAGTTACAAAATAATGTGCATATTATCACACACTGTATTACGATAATTGTATTAATACATATATATGGGTTTGTAAGAGCTGAGATAAATGCATGCAAAGATACTACAGACCATTAACATGGAAAGGACATAGGTGATTATTAACATTTTTCATCATCGCTAGAATAGTTTCATTTTTAATTTAAAATAAAATGATAAAAAATTATTAAAAACATGATCATTAACAACAGGAGACACTAAATGAGGAATCTACAGGAACTCTGTACTATCCTTGAAACTTTTCTGTAAATCCATAATTACTTCAAAATTAAGTTTATTAAAAAAAAAATGACTGCCAACATGAAAGACATAAATTGCCCACAATCCCATCACTTGAATAAAGCTGTATCTATTTCTGCATATTAACTTCTAGCCTTTGACCCCAGCATTTATACTACAAATTAGTATGCTTCACATTCAGCTCCTCTTGACACTAATTGGATGGTAAACCATTCAAGTACCTACATTATCTTGATAATCACATTTTCAAGGCTATATAATAATCCATCACCTTGATGTGCTGTAATTTAGTAAAAATATCCTCTACAGATCAACGTTTAAGCCCACCCCAGGTGTCTGTTATCATAAATAGCACTGCAATAAAAATGTAGACCTTTTGCTTATTCTCTTGAGTAATTTGTGGTAGGAATTATTATTAGTAGAGTCAATGCTAAATAGGGCCAAATATTGATAATTTCCCAGAAGTTATATATGCCATTTGTAACATTACCAGAATTTAAATAACAGTATGCCACTCCACTATTGAATTTTGTTCCTTAATTTACTAAAGGTAAAACAGTCCTTCAAGGTGGCTTTCATTTCTATTCTGCCCCCTCTCTTTTGTTTCTTTTATAGGAAAGAACTGGCACTAGCAGGAACAGGATGGGTTATATCAATACAAAAACAACATTTGTATTCCTTGGTTGGGGCAAGAAAAGGACTTAAATGTAGAAGTCTTGAGAATATGGGAAAAATCACTTAGGTGCACAATGCTTAACCACCTGTAAATTCATGAGTTCTGCTGGGACCGTGTCAATTAACAGCATAATCAAGCTATGTGCAAACTAAAGTGCACTTCAAATGCTACCCTAGATAAATTAACAGCCGTAAAGACTTAAGAAGCTGGTCAAAGTACAGTAAACTGGATCTCACAACAAGGTTGAAAGTGCTCTTGACATCACTCTCAAACTTTCCTGTTATTCCTTCTGAAAGAAAATGAAGAGTTCATGGACAAGGGCATCCCAGAAGGACCTCTTTCACATTACTGTATTCCTGGTAAATAGGAAGGCAATTCTCCCAGCACTTGTACTTGTTTTCAAACATGAATATTTAAGACCTTTCCAAAAGAACTGGTAAGAGTTGTACAACCAGAAAAGACCGTACAAGAGATTGTGTAAGACATAATGGCAAATGTAATGAATTAGCACATGGTCTTTTTCCTGAAGGTCCAGTCTTGCAAGGGTGTGGTGAAGGGGCACTGAGGGGATTCCTTCATTGGACACGTGGCTTTAAACCTTTCCCAAACTACCCTATTAGGCTGTCTCAATTTTAAGCACACCCCGTGTGTATGTATTTTTTAATTCAAGATTCATTCAAAGGTATCAAGTTCTTACAATGTGTTAAAGATACAGAGACAAAGATAGGCAGGTTCTCTATTCTCAAAGAGCATCCAGGGCCTTCCCTGATGGTGCAGTGGTTAAGAATCCACCTGCCAATGCAGGAGACATGGGTTCGAGCCCTGGTCCGGGAAGATCCCACATGCTGGTGGAGCAACTAAGCCCATGCGCCACAACTACTGAGCCTGCACTCTACAGAGTCCACAAGCCACAACTACTGAGCCCGCGTGCCACAACTACTGAAGTCCATGCGCCTAGAGCCCGTGCTCTGCAGCAAAAGAAGTCACCGCACTGAGAAGCCGGCGCACCACAACAAAGAGCAGCCCCCGCTCACGGCAACTAGAGGAAGCCCGCATGCAGCAACGAAGACCCAATGCAGCCATAAATAAACAAATAAGTTTATTTTTTAAAAAAAGGGGAGCCTCCAGAATTTTCTTCATAAACTACAAGGCACTAGAGAAATGTTTTTATTACTAATGTATATTACTTAACCTCTGATTTAAAAGGGGGTATTTTAATAACTGTCCTGTCTCTTTTTCGGGGGTTATCATTAGGGTCAAATGAGATGTGTCCCATGTAAACAGTAAAGCACTTAAACATAAGGCACTGTCATTAAAAGAATCGCTTATGATTCTCAAAAGTAAAAGAAAAAAGGGGATAAAGGCCAGAGGGAATCCCAATGTCTAATATTTGGGGAATAGCTAATAAATATAACCTGATCATGGAAATTTTTAGTTATAAAAACTTACACCTAGAAAGAGCTTTTAAAGATGGGGAAAATGCATATACGTTAAGTGAAGAAACAGTAGGCCCTAATTATATTTTAAAAATATGAAGAAAGAAAATATGCCCAAATATCATCAGTAAATCCCTCTGGTTGGTGAGATTAAAGATAATTGCTTTCCTCCTCTACCCTGTGCAGCACTTTACAGACTCTGAAAGGTATATGTACCTTGGTGATATGGTGAAAAACAGAGCAGAAGAACAGATTAGCAACTCTCTCTTATGATTTATTACACTTTATATAGTGTCTAACTTGAAACCAATTTACATACTTAATTACGTTAAAGCTAAAGATGTTCATATATTTTCAAGGAGTTATGCAAATAGCCCTGACACTTTCTGGAACTGCACCACTTGAACAACTATGAGAACAGTTATTTACATGAGAGGACCTCTAAGGACCCTTCTGACTCCAAGACAGATTTCTCTAATCTCAGCTCAAATGCCCCACAGAGTTAGGCCCACCTTGCCACTCTATCACAGTACCTTGTTTTGTATTCTTTGTATCACAAATTATTATCTGAAATAATTCTGCTCATTTGCCATTTCTACCCCTCACCCCCTACAGAACATAGGCTCTGGGAGAGTAAGACTGTATCTGCTTTGCCCCCCACTGTATCTCCATCATCTAGCAGACAGTGCCTGGTGCAGCTGGTGTTCACTAAACATTTGTTAAATCAATGTGCCCAAGTCACCTAGCATCCATTCCTCACCCCCAATGGCATCCCCACCAAGGTCACTAATTTCTCCTATGCTCCCATCCCTACAATTTAAACTATCCCCCAAAGCATTAACATGAAAATCAAAACAGGAATTCAAAGCTGTAGAGAATCAACTATTCTCTAGGCAAAAAGTGGCCACATCTGCTCCACGAGTTCACAGTCTCAATGAAGCAGAGCTAAGGATCATATGAAAAACTCCAAAGCTTTCGAGTTTTTCACAGCCTCTTCTCAATTAATTCTAACCACACCCACCCCGCCTTCCCGTCCAATAGACAGATAGCTGTGCCACAGCACAGCTCCTTACAGATGGAGCCTGAGGCTAGGCAAAATGGAGCAGACTCCCTCAAGCCACACAGCTCAGGAGTGCTAGAAGACCGAAACTGCAGCAGAGAATAGAGTAGAGGAGCAAACTCACACGCACGCAGGAGGGGCATCGGTCAGAATAGGCTCCAAGGATCCTTTACAGTTTTAAAAATTATTGAGGACTTCAGTATGTGAGTTAATGAGGGTTATGGCTATTGATATTTATCATACTGGAAATTAAAACAAATTCTTAAAACATTTTAAATAAGTTATTTATTCATTTAAAAATAACAATAATGAGGTCTTCCCTGGTGGCCCAGTGGTTGAGAGTCTGCCTGCCGATGCAGGGGACACGGGTTTGTGCCCCGGTCCGGGAAGATCCCACGTGCCGCGGAGCTGCTGGGCCCATGAGCCATGGCCGCTGAGCCTGCGCATCCGGAGCCTGTGCTCCGCAACGGGAGAGGCCACAACAGTGAGAGGCCCGCATACCGCAAAAAAATAATAATAAAAAATAACAATAATGAGCCCATTACATGTCAACAGTTTTTCATGTGTTGTGGGGGGAAAAATGTTTTTCAAAACAAAAAAATATACTTGGTGAGATGAGAAAATGTCTTTACATTTCTGCAAATGTTTTTAATGTCTGGCTTGATGGAAAACAGCTGGATTCTCACAACTGCCTCTACATCCAATTTATTGCAATGCATTGTTCAGGTTGAAGCTTATGAAGAAAATCTACCTCACACAAATGTGCAGTTGGAAATAGGAGTATTTTAGTGGCTCTTCCAGATAATTATGGATAATCTTCTTTGATGCTACTTCAAAACTTGACAAGTATAGTTTCTTAAAAGTTCACTGCAAATGGTGCAGCCACTTTGGAAAACAGCCTGGCAGTTCTTCAAAAAGTTAAACACAGAGTTACCAAGTGACCCATCAATTCCACTCCTAGGACCATACTCAAGAGAAATGAAAACATATTTCCAAACAAAACCTTGTACACCAATGTCCATGGCAGCCCTAGTCATAATAGCCAAAAGGCAGATACTAGCCAAGTCTCCATCAAATGATGATGGCTAAACAAAATGTGTTAGATGCCTACAACTGCATATTATTCAGACATAAAAATGAAGCACTAATACTTCCTACAACATGGATGAGACTTGAAAACTGGCTTTTAACTGAAAGAAGACAGACACAGAAGACCACATAGTGTATGTTTCCATTTATATGAAATGTCCAGAATACGTAAATCCATGGAGACAGAAAGTTGACTAGTGGTTGCCAGGGGCTTGATGGGCAGGGATAGAGAGGTTATAGCTAATGCGTTTCTTAGGCAGTGGGGGAATCAGATCCAGAAAAATCTGCAAAACAAAACTGTTGCTGAAAGTTTCAGGGGATTCACGATCACCCCCCACACACACACATACACACACCCCTAGGACTGTACTCACAGATCACAAGTTTTAAAAAAAAAAAAAAAAAAAGACACACGGGGAAAAATAAAAAAAGAACAAGGTACACCAGAGTACTTAAAAGGCATTTGTAGGAGGAATTCCCTGGTGGTCCAGTGGTTAGGACTCTGCACTTTCACTGCTGAGGGTCCAGGTTCGATCCCTGGTCAGGGAACTAAGACCCCACAAGCCCCGCGGTGCAGCCAAAAAAAAAAAGTGGTTGTTG